GCCCTAAAGAAGTAAGCAGTTACCAGAAGGAGATGAAAAAGGAGCGAAGGGAAAAAATTCGAAAGGATTGAGGTTGAGCCTGAAAGGAAAGTATCTGGTAATGCTAGCTGGCCCCTACCTAGCTCTGCACAGTAGGAAGTTGTTTAGCATTACTTCTGAAGAACAAAGGAAATGAGTTGAAGCAGAATTTAGATAAGGAAGAGGTTTCCTGAAATTAGTGAAATTGGCCTGGGGGCAGGGCATTAGGAGAGCCTTCTTCCTCTTTGGGACTATTGAAAGTAGTTTGAGCCCAAGAAAAGAGTGAGTGAAAGTGATGAGCTGTCCTCCCTCAGAGGCCCAGGAGTAGGAACCCAGATGCAAAGAAGCAATCTAGGGTGTAGGAATCTGAGCACACATATTTAGAGGCGAAGAACTCCCAAGTTCAAATTTGGCACAAATCAAAGAACTTGGATGCTGGGTGTAACTGGTTTTTTTCCACTGTTGACCTGGCAGAACCTTCTTATCTGAGCAGCTGAGCAGGTTTGATGTTTTTATGAAGCCAGGTAGAAGCAAAATATAGGCCAGCTTGAGGGTGATGACCACAGAAAAACAAAAGGTGTGGTATTTGTGGACATAGTTGTGTGATTAATAGAACCAAGAGGGAGGGGGAAAAAGAATCAGGCTGCACTGGGCCAGTATTTCACAGTATAGTACTGCAAGTGCTGTTAGGTGGCCAGTGAAAAAGAAACGAAAGGAGATAAAAAGGAACTGACTGGTTTTAGGCCTGAGTCCTAGTAACGCACTAGGTTTTGAATGGAAAAACTTACTCTATTCTGGGCAAATACATTTATCCCTTATTTCCCTAGCACCTCCTGAGTGACAGAATGGATTTGTTGTGATAACTGAAGGGCAGTGCCTCCCTCTGACTTTCTTTTGGGAAGAAACTGGCAGTTGTGTTGGGGACACGAGGTGCACGTCCAAGGGTTGGGTCTGTTGAATTCCAGGCCAGTGACTCACCTCTGGCCCTCAGCGTGACCCTGGTGTACCCACGAAGCGCTACACACCTAGACCATTTGCTGTCAGCTGCTGCAGGGGCTGGCTGGTTTCTAAATTGCTTCTCTCTGCCAGCAGTGGCGTCCTTATGATTCAGAAAGCAATAGTCTGACTCACAGGCCCTGCAACTAGGCCCTCTTTCTGGGCTGCAGTGTGTTGCCTTGTCAGAATCCTCCCTGCCCCCAGACCATGGCTCTGGTTATACATAATCCAGCCTACAGATACCAAGGTCAGAGCAAGGCTGTTTGTACTGTGCTGTGGAAACATCCTGTTCTATCAGATTCATTTGGCCCAGGGCATTTAAATCACTTCTTACTTTCTCTGCCTTCCCTTCGCCCTGTCATCTTCTCCCCCTCAGAAAAAGCCTCCAGTCAAGTCGTAAGAAGCTGTTGTTCTAGTGGCCCCTTTTGATTGATGTCTGGGTGAGGTTCCCCCCTCCTAAGAAGGAAGCGCCTCCCTGTTTACACTTCGCTAACAGTTCCTCCTGTCCTTTCAGGAAATGTCAATGACCTTCTTGCCATAGGCTTAGGATCTGTTTTTCTAACGTAAACAGAACAGGTTTTGCCATTCCTGTGACCGCTGCTCTTCCTTCCTGGCTGCTGCATCCTGGAGCCAGGTTCTTCTTGATCTGTCAGTGTCAGCCAGAATGACCTCTCATGCGGAGGGAGAAGTGCCCTGTGTGGGCTTCAGAGGTTCTCCTCTTCAGCCCCTGCAGTCAGAGATGAGGTCCTGTCATTTCTGCATCCCCAGAAGTGCCTCCCATGAGGTCTCTTGTTTGGCAAAGTACATATTTAGTAGAAGGTGGTGAAGGACAGGACCAAGATGGTAGGGACAGTGAGGCGACTCTGAGCAGGCTTCAGGGAGGCCTTGGCATTAGAGAGGGGAAGACCTCGGGTTGCGGTGACAAAGAGCAACGGAAAGAGTGTAAGAGCAGGCTGGAATTAAAGGGAAACCTAACCGGGCCATTAGCCAGACAAGCCTTGGGAGAGAAAACTGGACTATCTGGGAAGTTCAGGGCCTGTGGTATTTAAGAGCTATTGTTTGATATGGAGGGCCAAAGCCTTGTTTTTGTTTCCCTGCTTTGAGCTTCCCATAGGGCATCAGACCTCTCTGATGTTGCTTGTCTTTTCTAAGGGCATCCCGAGACCTTTCACTGAAAAGTCTAGCAACAGAATTGTTCAAAAGGACCTTAACTGGAGCCTTCCCGGTCCCATCCTTTGTTAGATTCCCTTACTGACTAATTTATCATCCCAGAGAGTGGCTGTTCACTGGCACTGTGTCATCCGTCCCCACCCCTCTGCCTTCACTTACACCGACATGTGCACTGCTGTTCTCCAGACCTGACACAAGCACCTTTGTTCTGCATGTGCACCTGTGCGCGTGAATGAGTGTGAATGAGTATGTGACTTCTTTCTGGATTTTTAGGATTTCGGTTTGGAAAATATCATCTCTTTGTTCCCCCTTTGTTTTCCTGAGGACATCAGCCAAGATCCTATTCCAGACTCAGTCATCCCTGGGTATCTTTGAGGGGATTGGTTCTGCAACCCCTGCCCCAAATCCACAATGGCCAAGTCCTTTATATAAAAATGGTGTGGTATTTTCTTCACACATCCTTTTGTTTTGTTTGGTTTGGGGTTTTTTTGGCAGTACTGGAGATTGAACCCACGGCCTTGACATTGAGCAACATCCCCAGCCCTTTTTTTTTTTTTTTTGGTACCAGGGATCGAACTTGGGTCCTTGCGCTTGCGCAGCAGGCGGTGAAACCACTGAGCTAAATTCCCAGCCCTTTTTTATTTTTTATTTTAAAACAAAGTCTCACTAAGTTGCCCAGGGTGGGCTTGAACTTGTGATCTTCCTGCCTCAGCCTCCCAGACTGCTGGGATTATAAACATGCAGCACCGCACCAGGCTCCTCCTATACACTTCAAATGCTCTCCAGGCTATTTATAATGTAAATGCTCCCTATGTAACTAGTGGTTCTTAGGGAATCGTGACAGGGAAAAAAGTCTGTACATGTTCAGCACAGATGCAGTTTTCCCCCAGATATTTTCAATCCACGGGTGACTCCATGGCTGCAGATCTCATGGATATGAAGGGCTGGCTATAATTTTAACATCCAGACTTGTGCAGTTTTTAAAAGTCCAAAGAGGCCTCATCAGCTGAGATTATCTTCCTTGCATATATGCCTGTGATCTTCTCTAATTTATTTATTTAGTGGCTTGGTTACTTTTCTCTTGTTGCTGAGACAAAATACCCAGCACCCAAAGTTAAAGGGAAAAGGGTGTATTTACCCAAAAGGTTTTAGAGATTTTAGTCCATAATCAGCTGGTTCCAAGGCAGGGTGGCTTGGCAAAGAGGAATCACAGAGGAGAAACAGTTCATAGTGCCCACAAGGTAACAAAAGCAACAAGGGACCTTAACAGGTCTTTCTACCCCTTTTATCTAATCCAAGCTACTTAGGGCAGGTAGCATTCACACCTTTAATCCTGGTGCCCTTGAATCAATTCCAGTGTCACAACTCTAGATCCAGCCACCTCTGAAAAAGCCCAACCTATGACCGCATGATGCTTTGTGGGGACATCTAGAATGATTTTTTTTTTTGGTACTGGGGATCGAACTTGGGTCCTTATGCTTGCGAGGGAGGCAGCAGAACCACTGAGCTAAATACCCGGCCCTGTGGGGACATCTAGACACAAGCCGTAACATTTAGGTTTGGCCGGTTATAATAGAAGGGCAGTTGCTGTAGACCTTAAGGTGTAAGAAATGAAAATTGCTGCAGCCCCGCCAGGTTTAGCCCTGGGTTCCCCTGTTAGGATGGAGGCTCCAGAGACCAGTGAGTGGAGGCAGGGAAGCCTTCTTTTCTGCCCTTGTCCCCACCGGCTTCCTGTGGGCAGAACTGGGCTCCCACAGAGGTAACAGAACATTCAGAACAGGCACAAAAGCATCGTGACAGGATCTGTATTCCTGGCCCAGGCCTCCTCATGGCTCATGGTTGAACTTGAGTTCTTCCTGCTTTATTGAAAGATCTATGCATAAAAAAAAAAAGAAAGCCTGGAACATTTCTTTTCTTAAAGATGACTTCTTAGCTGGGCGTGGTAGTGTACGCCTGTAATCCTGGGTTCCTAGGAGGCTGAGCCAGGAGGGTCATAAATTCCAGCCCAATCTGGGCAATTTAGTGATGTTGTGAAACCCTGTCTCAGAATAAAAAAGGACTGGTGATGTCACTCAGTGGGAAGGCCCTGGGTTTAATCCCTAGTACCGAAAAGAAAAAAAAAAAGGAAAAAAGATGACTTACTGAAAGAAGGGGATCTCCCTCCATCCTCTCTGAACCCCACCACTCCATCCTTTTGAGGAGACAAGAGGAGAAGCGACTGCCTTAGGATTCTGTTTTTGGTCCGCACCTCCTGCCTTTGTTAGTGTTATCAGGAATCCTTTTGGGCCTTCATTTTTCCCTTCCCTTATACTTGAGAAATTTATGTTTTTGTGGCTTTGGGACCTCGGGATATGCTACAGGTCTGAAACAATGACTTATCAGGAAATGGGGCGCACGTCTGAGGGGCCAGAAGTAGCCCCTTGGCCTGCACGTGAACACAGGGCCTGCTGGGATCCGAGCCAGCATAGAGGAGGCTTCTGGAGGGCAGGCTGTGCCTTCCCTCCCCAGGATGAGCAGCACTGCAGTCTGTGGCTCTCTTCCTGTCTCTCACGGGAAGCTCCAAAGCCTCTGTGTTTCCCCGTCTTTCCCGGAATTAGGAAGTAGCTCACGGTGCCGAGGATGGAACCCAGGGCCTTGCGCACACTGAGCAAGTGCTCTGCCACTGAACTGAGCTCCAGCCCAGCCCTGGGCGGTGGTCTTTCCTTCCAGCCTGGCCTGTGCACTGTTTTACTCTTTCTCCCTCTCCCTCCTCCTGTAAGTTAGACCTGCCTCACTAACCGTGTGTGCTTCTCTTGCTTCCTGTCTCCCTCCCACAGGAGAGGCCTGAACCCCCCTCATGCTTCTCTTGCTTCCTGTCTCCCTCCCACAGGAGAGGCCTGAACCCCCCTCAT